CAGCTCTCCTGTCGTTATGGGAACATGACATATTTCCTGTCTAGCAATGGGCAAATTCCATTTGTCTGCTAACGGTAGCGATGCCAGTGGTTGCTACATGGGATTTAAATACCTGGTTATCGCTGACAAATTCAGTTTTGGGGGTGGAAGTTATATAACGTGAGAGTTTAACACACACCATTTCCGTTTTTATTTAATGCAAATATAAAATCCAAGTTTCAGAGCAAGGAGCTAACTGGATTTTATATAGAGCCTGGGCTTTTGAAAATCCTCACAATTAAATGACATAAAAATATGTAGCATTGATCATGACATCAACTCCTAAAGAAACAGAAAACCTTCGCTCAAGGGAGATACAGGGATTTTGTGGGTTTTGGGGTTTTTTTTTGTTTTTTTAAACTATTTAATCTGCAAGAACATTCGAGTTAGTTCCCTGCTAGGGCCTTTACGTATCTTCCAACCCAGCATGCGAGGAGATAGCTTGGCAGGGAAAGGGGAACACAGGAATTTTCGCTGGCATTCAGCAGACCTGGCTACACGCACACTTTGTTCTCTTGAATTTTTTTTTTCCCCCTGACAAAAATCTTCTTGCCATCAATACAAGGGCTGGGGAGACAGGTCACATGAAATTGCACCAAGCTGCTTCCACATGTTATTTTTAGCCTTGTCTGTCACCTTAGAGAGCTGCGTGTCAGCGACAAGCACACTGAAGAGGATAGAGGTAGCTCTTTAAATAAACTCTCCTGCAAAGACTAGAAGAGGCTGTAATTCTGGTACCAGGCAGCACCTTCTTCTCTTCTCACCAAAAAGAGGTTTGTGTGGGGAAAAAAAAAACAACCAGCACAAGGACTCTGAGAGCCTTCTGGGGTATGGAGGCAAAGCTTGCAATGGGGAGAGAGGTCGCCCCACGGCTGGTAGGTGTAATGACTAACTCATATCAGGTAAGCAGGACAGAGTCCCAGAGGGGTCAGCTGTCGTGTCCAGGACTAGTGGAAAATTCAGACCTCTTGCAGTGCCCAGGAAGGATGAGAGCTCAAAGCTCTGACTCTTCCTCTGCTCCCGGGATAGGAGTTCCCAAGCTCCGCTGCAGCAGAGTGCAGACAGCTCTTGGCTTTCCTTGGGGTACCTGGAAGCTCTCCATTGCTGCAGTAGATACGTGCCCTCAACATGGACAGTGGGGAAACTACTCAAATTCTCAGGCTCTCGGTGGAAGCTTACTGTATTTTTACAAGCCACTTCACCCCCTGCTGAAGCATTGAGAGTTTGTTTCTGAGCAAGCTGCACGGCCAATTAATCCCACAGCATCTGCTCCAGGCACACGGGGCCCTCAGCTGCTTCAGAACTATCCTACAGCCACCCTGCAATTACCAACAGGTCTTCTTCACCCACTACATCCCAGAAGAAAACAATCCCACTCTCCCAGCAAAGCTTTGCTTGTAAACAGCAACAAGAGCAAGACCTACACCTCAACCAGAAGTACATGGATTGGAAGATCTTTGGAGAATCATGTAGGAATGATTTTTGTTTAAAACAGTCCAAAGGGGCACATATCCCTGAAAGAGACATCTGTAATAGAAATAACCCAAATACAACCCATAATCCAGAAGAAGTTGTCAGTAAGCTGCAGAGAGCCACAACCCTTTGCAGTTACTTGCAACAGGGAGTGCAGAGAAAAGCGGAGTTGCCTCCAGGTGCTTATCTGGAGCCTACAAGTTCTTAAGGGTGAGATTTTAACCCTAAGTAATGCAAAGGGAGACAGTGTAATGCACTGAAGGAAGCTGTGATGGTCAGTGTTGAGAGATAGCAAAATAAGTAGGTCAAATGCTAGAGAGGATCAGTAAAGAAATTACTAATAGGAGATAAATCCATGTGACATTTTTACAGAGCTGCCTGTAAAAGGATGCCTTCTTCAGAGGAATACAAAGGTTCTGTCACCAGCAATGCTCACAGCTACATAAAAGGAACACAGGTCACAAAAGCTGAAGTGTTAGGAATGGCTTTTTGTTCTAGGACTTACCCTCTCTTTGTAGTAGAAGGAGCTAATGGAGACCTGCTCCTTCTCGCTGCGTGTTGGACTCCCACTGTACAAACGCAGATTGCCTGGAGTCTCTGTGCGGATCTTCATTGGAGTAATGAGGCCACTGTGGTATGCTGATAAAGCTGACAGGGACCTAGAAACAAGAGAATACACTTTTGGGAGCTCTTACACTCACCAAATTGCCCTGGAGGCTCACACTGACATCTCCACTAAGCTGCTAGCAATGTTTCAGGTGTGTTGAAAGGAGCCTCTGCTGAGGACCGGTGATACAAGGGACCAGGCTCTGTGTCGAGGACACAGCTAACACTAGAGGTCACTGCTTTCTGAGGGTCAGTAGCTTCAGTGTTGGATATGATACTCTCCTGCCTTCCTGCCCGTGTCAGTGGCACACCTCAAAATGCAAGGCAGGGTACTCACCTGGGTGTGGGCTCCGTCGGGGACACTGCGCGGTGCATGGTCATGGGCCTCGTGAAATACACCAGGTACCCTGAAGAGACAGGACATGGCATAAAGATCATGCAAGGAAATTACCCAGGGGTGGTTTACACAGGGAAACCTGTTCCTTTAAGGTAGAGTCAAGGGGCTGAGTGCCTATCCACTAACCTGAGTGCTTTTAAACTACAAGCAGACAATCCCATTTTCTCAACCCAAATCTACTCCCTGCAAACCCATTAAAGAGCAGGTTTTGTTGAGATGACTTTCTTAAAAGCACCAGCTCAAGTGGCTTACAGATGTTAAAGACAGTAAAATAAAAGGAACAAATACATACTCATGTTTCAAGTCTTCACCAGAACCTGTCAAGGACTTTGACACTCCAGAGGCAAGTGAGGTGATGTTTAGCTACACAGAGAAACTGCTGCAGCTTGTATGACTCTTCCATTCAAAAGCATAATCCAAGCCAACTGAAGCCAACTCCAAAGCACCCTCACAAGCCCCACACCCCATTTGTTACAGCACCTCAGCCTCCTGCTCTTGCAAGAGGTTCAGGACTTAGCATGTTTCATTGAGTCTATTCAATGGATACGGCTCTGTTTCACTTTTGCTGGGAATTTGGTGAGGGCAGTACGAAGAGCAGCTTTCAAAACATGCTCAAATCGGGATGTGGTCAGGTCTGGAGGAGGTAGGCTTGCATCTGAAACAGCTCAGTGAAACCTGACAGCTCTTACTCAGACCTTAACCTGGTTTTTAAGGATGATTTTTGCACCGTACGCTCTCCTGGAAACCTGGACATGAAGTTTCCCAATGACCTTGGGAAACCTATTTTGGACAACAGAAAGGGTGCAGAATGAGAAAAGAGTGGTTAGTAACAAGAATATGGCTTCAGCAAGGGGTAAGTTCAACTCTAAATCACAGTAATTTTGTGAAGACTGAGAGCCAGAATATGTCCAGCAGTTTGGTGCTGGTAGGAAAGAACTAGGCAAGGAAGACAGTTATTCCCAGTCTTCTGTAAAAGGTCTGTCAATGCCTCTGGCATGCCAAACTCTTCAACTACTCCTGGATTTCCAAATCTTAAAATCCTACACGCAACACTAACTGCAAACAGTTGCTAACTAGTCTCGTTATCTATAAACTTATCACAACATCACTACTTTAATACCATTTCTCACTCGTTGCATGGCAGTGACTAAAGCCTCCTTTTGTTCAGAGGCAAGTGTTCCCCAAGATATTAAAAGGGCCATTCCCCAGGTAGCTGTTGTAATGTATCAGCGATGGGGCTAACCTGCACCACAGAACCTGGCTCCAGAGGTCCGTGGAAATGGGATGTTAGAGTCCTGGTAGGAGCCATAGGCATTGGAGACACGGGCGAAGGTGGGCAAGGGGGGCGTTACCGAGTTTGACAACGCGTAGGGATTGCTGGATGTGCTGTCCTCTTGGTTCTGAAACAGAAGTTACCCAAGGTCACACTCCTGCTGTCACAGGAAGGAAAACCAGCTGGAGCACTGGGCCTTGCCTCACAGAATGTGCTCATCCTTTGAGCCAGAGCAGATTAAACACAGAGTGTGGTTACTGCTTTGGCTGCAAAGACACTCGCAAGCACGTTTACCTTTAAGGAAAGGGCTTTTCTGGCTGTTTTTCCAGAGATTTCTCTCCCACCATAGCCATGTTGAAATGCAGAGCTTAATGTGGGGTGAAAGAGTGGAAAACTATACAGAAAACCTGACCTTCAGATTCCAGATATGGCTCTCAAGGCAGGGAGCTGAGATAAACCTGCTACCTCAGTGATGCAAGTGAGACAGTCTCCTTAAACAGGAACACCACACAGTTGTGGGGGGTCAAATGCAGACTGGGAGCCTTGAAGTGAGGAAGGCAGGTGGTGTGAAATACAGGGGAATCTCAGGCCTATCCACAGGAATTTGGGGAGAAATCTACATTTATTTGGACAAAGAGTACTACAACTTAGGTCTAAAGGAATTCTTTAAAGGCAGTGGCACCTGGCTTGAGTCATCAGATTTCCATACAATGGAGCAAATCCTCACTCTTACAACATTACTGCTGAAACCAAACAGAATTAAGCCTTTCCATGTAAAAAAAATCCCCTTTATTTGTGATGAATAAACAAAACCTCTCAGAAAGAAAACCTGAGGAGACTCTCTAGTCTTTTTCTGAATGTTAAAAACACCCATTCTGGTACACTTCACCCACACACAGACCTCATACCTAACACTGGGATGCTGAGTAGGTATCACAGATCTCTCAGCGAAGGGCAGAGTGTGACTTGGATTTATCTGCAGAAGCATCATCCCTATGAAACCTCAGCACAAGGCTTCAGAAAAAACAGATTTTCACAGCTTCCACCCCCCCCCCCAAGGGAAGAAAACGAAGACCCTAGAATAGGACTAGCAGGATCTTTGAGTGCAACTGAGGAGGTGAAGTCATCTGCCACTGCCTTTCAGATAAGAATGAATCCATCAGCTCCCTGAGACCTCTTATCTTCTCCCACAGATGATAACCATGCCCTGGCACTCAGTGAGATAAACTCAGAGCTGGGGAGCTACCATGCACCACTAAGATGCTCC